TTTTAATGTTGTCGTGAAAACATGAACATACGCGTCAAAAGCCTGATATTCTGGACTTTTATTACGCAAATTTTTAGTGGCGCCATCTACCCGAAGCTAAGAAAAGCGCTCCCAGAAAACTAGGCGCGTGACGTGAACTGGTTGAAAGTGTATTCAGTTAGCAAGCTCAGTAAGTGTCTGCTCGATTTGAGGCTAATTTTTTTTAATGTTGTCGTGAAAACATGAACATACGCGTCAAAAGCCTGATATTCTGGACTTTTATTACGCAAATTTTTAGTGGCGCCATCTATCCGAAGCTAAGAAAAGCGCTCCCAGAAAACTAGGCGCGTGACGTGAACTGGTTGAAAGTGTATTCAGGTAGCAAGCTCAGTAAGTGTCTGCTCGATTTGAGGCTAATTTTTTTTAATGTTGTCGTGAAAACATGAACATACGCGTCAAAAGCCTGATATTCTGGACTTTTATTACGCAAATTTTTAGTGGCGCCATCTATCCGAAGCTAAGAAAAGCGCTCCCAGAAAACTAGGCGCGTGACGTGAACTGGTTGAAAGTGTATTCAGGTAGCAAGCTCAGTAAGTGTCTGCTCGATTTGAGGCTAATTTTTTTTAATGTTGTCGTGAAAACATGAACATACGCGTCAAAAGCCTGATATTCTGGACTTTTATTACGCAAATTTTTAGTGGCGCCATCTATCCGAAGCTAAGAAAAGCGCTCCCAGAAAACTAGGCGCGTGACGTGAACTGGTTGAAAGTGTATTCAGGTAGCAAGCTCAGTAAGTGTCTGCTCGATTTGAGGCTAATTTTTTTTAATGTTGTCGTGAAAACATGAACATACGCGTCAAAAGCCTGATATTCTGGACTTTTATTACGCAAATTTTTAGTGGCGCCATCTATCCGAAGCTAAGAAAAGCGCTCCCAGAAAACTAGGCGCGTGACGTGAACTGGTTGAAAGTGTATTCAGTTAGCAAGCTCAGTAAGTGTCTGCTCGATTTGAGGCTAATTTTTTTTAATGTTGTCGTGAAAACATGAACATACGCGTCAAAAGCCTGATATTCTGGACTTTTATTACGCAAATTTTTAGTGGCGCCATCTACCCGAAGCTAAGAAAAGCGCTCCCAGAAAACTAGGCGCGTGACGTGAACTGGTTGAAAGTGTATTCAGGTAGCAAGCTCAGTAAGTGTCTGCTCGATTTGAGGCTAATTTTTTTTAATGTTGTCGTGAAAACATGAACATACGCGTCAAAAGCCTGATATTCTGGACTTTTATTACGCAAATTTTTAGTGGCGCCATCTACCCGAAGCTAAGAAAAGCGCTCCCAGAAAACTAGGCGCGTGACGTGAACTGGTTGAAAGTGTATTCAGGTAGCAAGCTCAGTAAGTGTCTGCTCGATTTGAGGCTAATTTTTTTTAATGTTGTCGTGAAAACATGAACATACGCGTCAAAAGCCTGATATTCTGGACTTCTATTACGCAAATTTTTAGTGGCGCCATCTACCCGAAGCTAAGAAAAGCGCTCCCAGAAAACTAGGCGCGTGACGTGAACTGGTTGAAAGTGTATTCAGGTAGCAAGCTCAGTAAGTGTCTGCTCGATTTGAGGCTAATTTTTTTTAATGTTGTCGTGAAAACATGAACATACGCGTCAAAAGCCTGATATTCTGGACTTTTATTACGCAAATTTTTAGTGGCGCCATCTACCCGAAGCTAAGAAAAGCGCTCCCAGAAAACTAGGCGCGTGACGTGAACTGGTTGAAAGTGTATTCAGTTAGCGAGCTCAGTAAGTGTCTGCTCGATTTGAGGCTAATTTTTTTTAATGTTGTCGTGAAAACATGAACATACGCGTCAAAAGCCTGATATTCTGGACTTTTATTACGCAAATTTTTAGTGGCGCCATCTACCCGAAGCTAAGAAAAGCGCTCCCAGAAAACTAGGCGCGTGACGTGAACTGGTTGAAAGTGTATTCAGGTAGCAAGCTCAGTAAGTGTCTGCTCGATTTGAGGCTAATTTTTTTTAATGTTGTCGTGAAAACATGAACATACGCGTCAAAAGCCTGATATTCTGGACTTTTATTACGCAAATTTTTAGTGGCGCCATCTACCCGAAGCTAAGAAAAGCGCTCCCAGAAAACTAGGCGCGTGACGTGAACTGGTTGAAAGTGTATTCAGTTAGCGAGCTCAGTAAGTGTCTGCTCGATTTGAGGCTAATTTTTTTTAATGTTGTCGTGAAAACATGAACATACGCGTCAAAAGCCTGATATTCTGGACTTTTATTACGCAAATTTTTAGTGGCGCCATCTACCCGAAGCTAAGAAAAGCGCTCCCAGAAAACTAGGCGCGTGACGTGAACTGGTTGAAAGTGTATTCAGGTAGCAAGCTCAGTAAGTGTCTGCTCGATTTGAGGCTAATTTTTTTTAATGTTGTCGTGAAAACATGAACATACGCGTCAAAAGCCTGATATTCTGGACTTTTATTACGCAAATTTTTAGTGGCGCCATCTACCCGAAGCTAAGAAAAGCGCTCCCAGAAAACTAGGCGCGTGACGTGAACTGGTTGAAAGTGTATTCAGTTAGCGAGCTCAGTAAGTGTCTGCTCGATTTGAGGCTAATTTTTTTTAATGTTGTCGTGAAAACATGAACATACGCGTCAAAAGCCTGATATTCTGGACTTTTATTACGCAAATTTTTAGTGGCGCCATCTACCCGAAGCTAAGAAAAGCGCTCCCAGAAAACTAGGCGCGTGACGTGAACTGGTTGAAAGTGTATTCAGGTAGCAAGCTCAGTAAGTGTCTGCTCGATTTGAGGCTAATTTTTTTTAATGTTGTCGTGAAAACATGAACATACGCGTCAAAAGCCTGATATTCTGGACTTTTATTACGCAAATTTTTAGTGGCGCCATCTACCCGAAGCTAAGAAAAGCGCTCCCAGAAAACTAGGCGCGTGACGTGAACTGGTTGAAAGTGTATTCAGTTAGCGAGCTCAGTAAGTGTCTGCTCGATTTGAGGCTAATTTTTTTTAATGTGGTCGTGAAAACATGAACATACGCGTCAAAAGCCTGATATTCTGGACTTTTATTACGCAAATTTTTAGTGGCGCCATCTACCCGAAGCTAAGAAAAGCGCTCCCAGAAAACTAGGCGCGTGACGTGAACTGGTTGAAAGTGTATTCAGTTAGCAAGCTCAGTAAGTGTCTGCTCGATTTGAGGCTAATTTTTTTTAATGTTGTCGTGAAAACATGAACATACGCGTCAAAAGCCTGATATTCTGGACTTTTATTACGCAAATTTTTAGTGGCGCCATCTACCCGAAGCTAAGAAAAGCGCTCCCAGAAAACTAGGCGCGTGACGTGAACTGGTTGAAAGTGTATTCAGTTAGCGAGCTCAGTAAGTGTCTGCTCGATTTGAGGCTAATTTTTTTTAATGTGGTCGTGAAAACATGAACATACGCGTCAAAAGCCTGATATTCTGGACTTTTATTACGCAAATTTTTAGTGGCGCCATCTACCCGAAGCTAAGAAAAGCGCTCCCAGAAAACTAGGCGCGTGACGTGAACTGGTTGAAAGTGTATTCATGTAGCAAGCTCAGTAAGTGTCTGCTCGATTTGAGGCTAATTTTTTTTAATGTTGTCGTGAAAACATGAACATACGCCTTAAAAGCCTGATATTCTGGACTTTTATTACGCAAATTTTTAGTGGCGCCATCTACCCGAAGCTAAGAAAAGCGCTCCCAGAAAACTAGGCGCGTGACGTGAACTGGTTGAAAGTGTATTCAGTTAGCGAGCTCAGTAAGTGTCTGCTCGATTTGAGGCTAATTTTTTTTAATGTGGTCGTGAAAACATGAACATACGCGTCAAAAGCCTGATATTCTGGACTTTTATTACGCAAATTTTTAGTGGCGCCATCTACCCGAAGCTAAGAAAAGCGCTCCCAGAAAACTAGGCGCGTGACGTGAACTGGTTGAAAGTGTATTCAGTTAGCGAGCTCAGTAAGTGTCTGCTCGATTTGAGGCTAATTTTTTTTAATGTTGTCGTGAAAACATGAACATACGCGTCAAAAGCCTGATATTCTGGACTTTTATTACGCAAATTTTTAGTGGCGCCATCTACCCGAAGCTAAGAAAAGCGCTCCCAGAAAACTAGGCGCGTGACGTGAACTGGTTGAAAGTGTATTCAGTTAGCAAGCTCAGTAAGTGTCTGCTCGATTTGAGGCTAATTTTTTTTAATGTTGTCGTGAAAACATGAACATACGCGTCAAAAGCCTGATATTCTGGACTTTTATTACGCAAATTTTTAGTGGCGCCATCTACCCGAAGCTAAGAAAAGCGCTCCCAGAAAACTAGGCGCGTGACGTCCCCTATGAAAATGGTTAATGCCATTTGAAAGTCATATTATTGCCAAATGGCAACAGCTGTTTACAAATAGTCAATCAGCAGGCAACAGATGTTAATCGTCATTGAGACGTCACCCTGCTGACCCGGATAGCCATTTCGCCACCGTCAACTTTTTGCCGTTCTATTGGTTATTGTCGGTGTATCATCAGTGTATCTACATGTTAACGTTAAATGGCTAAAGGAGGCAATCAAAGGACTATACATTTTATAATCTTTTGACTGCCTCCAATAGCCAATTAGCATTAGCATGTAGATACACTGGCAATGCACCGACAATAACCAATAGAACGGCAAAAAGTTGACGGTGGCGAAATGGCTATCCGGGTCAACAAGATGACATCTCAATGACGATGAACATCTGTTGCCTGCTGATTGACTGCTCTTAAACACCTGTTGCCATTTGGCAATAATACAAAATGGCATCAACCATTTTTATAAGGGCATAATTATCACATAGACGTCATTTGATCGAATTTCGTGACCATTTCGCCATTGTCAACCCCTCGTAAACTTTAAGCTGGCCAGCCGAAAAACTGCAATAGTTTACATGGCCTACCATTGATTCCATGCCTGATACACATAGTGCCGGCTTGCAATATGGGAAGAAAACAAAGATTGAAGGACAATTTCAAGACCCAAAATTTATTTATCACAATGTCATTAAAATGATGTGTTTTTTTTCAAGACTAAGTTAATCACCCAAATGTAAACGATCAGTGAAAAAATAACCTTTCCTTGCTTCCTGACATGTCTGTAAGGTGTCAGCTGAAAGAAGAAAAACATTATAAATTAAGTGGGCATATAACCAGAAATATTCTTGCAGCACATTCAAAAATATGCACAGAAGAACCTTGCTCACATGTTTTCTCGGCTGTTATGTTCACGGAAACCGGTCCTATCGAACGTCCAAAAGTATATATGTGTTAAAATTACAGGCTTCATGAATTTCTTTCTTGGTTCTTATGCCCAAACACTGCCACTCAATGTGGCCGGCATGACTACTAGGAACACATACCCTGTTCCTTTTGCTTTACTCCCTTTATTTTACCTCCTTGCCTCTCTGCACTGTGTTTCTTGCTTGGTCCTGTATGACAATAAGAGATTCAGGCTCTCACGACACCCCATTTTTCTTTACCACCTCCATGCCACCATGTTCAAGCAGTGCTGACTGCATCAAGCCCCACTGCTTTGATGTGGCATGCAGGGTGCAGTGATTTGTTTGAGGCAGCTGTGGTTTAGCTCGATGGGCTCAGAATTTTGGCATCCTTATATTTCAATATTTTTTTAACTGCAACTCTAGACAACGCATCACTGCGATGGCGCGGCTGTCGGCACAGCACATGTACACACATGTCAGCTCTCACGAATCTAGTTCCTGCGTATGCAGTGCCCATAGCTGCTGTGGGCAAACACAAGCTTGTCTGTGAACAGTGTGTTACTTATAGTACAACCACAATTTTAAGAAGTGTTGAAAAAATTGTCAACATATAAAATAAGGCAATCTTTTTTACAGCCATAAAAGCTACGGTAAGATAAACAGAGAATACAGCTTCCTGAAACATCCATGGCTATCCCAAGGGCATTATCAGTTGTTACATCTTTGCTCATGTCATGATCCTTTATTGTGACTGCATTAAGATGCAGCAGCAGGGTTCTACTGTATTTCACACAATGTTTGAATGTGCAATAGCTTTAACTTCCACAACATATCAGCCAACCACAGGTTGTCAAAATGTCAACTCCACAATAATGTAATAAATATGAATACAATAATAATCCCTGGAAAAGGGGTACAAGGGGGAGAAAGGTCAAAGAGGAATCTCCTTTGTCCCCTTGTTCCCCATTTTATTTGATGTGATTATTATCGTCATTCTTGTCTTGAATAAAGGGGTCTACTCGTGTCTCTTAAGAGAGGGAAGCAGCTTACCTGGAAGAGCATAGCGCCCCCGGGACAGAAATCGAGAGAGGCTGTCCTCGACTGGCTTCCCCACATTGCTGTACTCCGTGAAGGTGCGAGCTGAAAGAGCAAATGAGAATTGCAATTTAAAATGATAATAGTCCCTAGAAAGCTACACTCAAGTATTGGTACCCTTTTCTTCATTTTCCAGTTCTGCCAAAACGGTCATTCATCCATTTGGATGGTGAAATTCGTTCATGCGCATGCAGCTTGTGGGCACTGCCATGTTGTTATTGCGTCATTACTTGAATTTAATGTAAATATTCACTTCACCTTAGACAAAGATTTATCTATTACTTTTGATAAGATCTTTGGATGCTTGGCAATTTTAACAGCAGCCTGGGGGCGCACTCATAGATGCACCACTCTTCAATCAGTTTGGGGAGTGCGTCTTTAAACGCTCACTCTTTTTATCGTACGGGAAGCACCATCTATCCCCTAACATCGGAAATAATTTTCCTTTAGAAATTAAAGCTATGATGGTAGCACAAGAAAAGTTTCGTACAAAAAAATATAGGCAAAATAGGGACAAAAAAATTTTTTTTTGGTCATGGGTCCCCAGTCAAGGGGTCAAGAAATAGATTAATCTTGTGTGTTAACATTTTTTTCAAAGCAAAAACATGACAGGACTATGTTATCAAGTGTATAGCTCTTTTTACTGTGGTCATAATGAGGTGGCATAGCCTTTGTCATTTGCCCAGTAATGCTCAACAAACACAAAACTAAAACAAAAATTCTCGCAGACCAAGATCCATTACTACATGCAGTGCAAGTTTTGAGGGTAAACATTTTGGCAGAGGCCTGCCTGGTCGGGAGAAAGCTTAAAAACTCGAAAACATCCGTCCACACACCCGCATCTGTGTTCCCTACATAAAGGGAACTAGCGAAGCGCTGTGATGTATGCTGGTAAAAGAAAGTATTCAGGTGTCCCACAAACCGGTATCAACTCTTTGACGTATGATGCTGCGAATTAAAGGTCATCCCTCTAAACAAAGAGCGCAAGGCATTGTATATTCAATTCCATGCCACCTACATTGGAAAAACAAAGAACTTCCCAGAAAGAATTCAACAACACAAAAACAACTGCAAATTCGACCACGAGCGCAGCGCTGTTGCAGAGCACTGTGAGGACAATGAATATCGCATCAACTTTGCCAACACCCTCATAAATGTTGAGACAAACTTCTGCCAGCAGCTTTTTATAGTCATGGCATATCCAAACAACACCAGGAAACATCAATAGGTCCGCTGGCACATTGCCATCATGCTACGTGAACGGACTCAGCCACCTAACGAAGTGAAAAAAAAAAGAGACTATCGTAGAAGAAAACAAAGCTGTTGTCTCCTATCTGGAAGCAGTCACCCCTGAAGAAAAAAACAAGCTGTTTTTGAAACTTTGGGACCTTGTTGTAGGATATGGTTGGTGATTTTTTTCAAATTCCAATGTATGAGTTTTGCATTTGTTTGAGTCATCATTCACTTTTTTACCATATTTACCCGCATAATGAACACACCTCTTTATTCTGAAATTGACATATATTTCGGGGGTGCGTTTATTATGCAGAGTAAATTTCTGCATTTACACACTTCGCGAAAATGTAATTTTAGGTGGCAGTATGACACGGCAAAGTACTGTGGCATGTCTCCACTGACGGAGGCGCGTTGACGGCTGGTCGTGGGCGCGCTACAATAACCATGTTCTACAATTTGAAAACCTTTTTTTAGGGTGCTTTCGGTGTGCCTTCTGTCAAAGGAAAAGCGCCCTCCTAGTGAATAGTAAAAAAATCTTGCATGTAAGAAATTTAGGTGTCAAATAAAAGCACATGACCAAATAAGATCATATAAAAACCTTATAAAAACATATAAGAACAATATAGGAAATATATAAGATTTTATAAGAAGTTTTAAGAAACTGAAAAGAAGTTTCTTATAACTTCAAATATAATTTTATATTGTTCTTATATGTTTTTATAAGGTTCTTGTATTTTCTTATATGATCTTATTGGATCATACGCGTTTGTTGGGCATAAATTTTTTTTATACATTTAAGATTTTTTTACTAGGGAAGCTCACTCAGCATGGTGAGTGACGCGACCGTCCTTAGGCCTAACCACTTTCACGATTTCACTGTCCGAAAGCACACTACAGATGACCGCGTGTTTGTTGACATCAATGCATTCTGTGGGTGAAACATGTCCAAAGCTGGGCAATTCCTCGACCCCAGCTTTGTTACGTGTATGCGCCGCTCGGTTTCACTCTTGATCACATCCGCAACTACACACTTGCAGCCATGAAAGCATGTACCGCTATGCTTTGCCTGGTTTGAAGTGGCCTGGCCGCTTGGCGGCGAAAGAAAATTGGCTTGATGGCTAGCCGAGTTGGACGTAGTTTGAGACTCATGGAGCGAGTAGACACGGTAAATAAAAACATTCTAAAAACTTCTCAGGCGTTCCTCAAGCTTTGAGTACTGTGACCTTTTTAAAGCTTGAGTAATTAACATTCACCTCTAAGCTGACTGTGGTGGTAACTACGCACCCACCGGATCAATCAACCACCTCCCTCTCGTTACCTGACCCCGCCTTCTGCACATGGTTATGGGCGGGAGTGTAACACATGGCGAAAGGTAGACATATGACTGGTCCAACGAGCATGTAGCTTCTACTACGATTTCAGCTGGTCATCCAACAGAGTATAGTGATGCAGCACAAAAAAATGCGAGCCATTTCAGAATGTCTGAATGAGAACATACCCTCAAACATCCTGATACTGTAGAGAGTTTCCTGCAAAGCCACTCGATTTGATTGGCCAAGCAGTAAATAAAAGGTACACTCACCAAAGCACTGTGTCGCCCATGATAAGCCTGCAACTCCCTTCAATAATTGGGAAACAACCAAAAAGCCACAGGAATGTAACACTGGATCCTGAAACAGAAAAAAAACAGCAAAATGCAGGAATTAACACAATATACAAACCGCTTCAGCGAGTGACACTTAAAACTAGCTACAGTTCTTTGGGCACCGTCTTTTTATTACAGATAATTGTGAGTGAGGACGTGCTGTCATTATTTTTCTAGTCCTGTAAACCTTTCCCATTCGGAGGTCTCCGACGTCGGTTTCGCAAACTTCATAAAATCTGCCATTGCTCCATTATCAAGTTCTAGAGCAAGTGACAAGTTAAAATTCCAATGGTGGAGGCTCACAGACATTAAGCACCTGCTTCAAGCCCCTCGGCTGTCGAGAAAACACTATGTCAACCGCTCCGAAACATAGGTTTTGTGCAGAAGAGAGATTGAAGTATGCTACTGATTCAGTAGAACTACATCATATTCATCAACCATTGTTAGCCGATTCACTATGCAACTCATCGTGAAAACGAGACTTGGACTTGGCCAGGGCAATTCGTTTTACAGAGAAATGTTTACCGATTTGACGGACGCTGTCATTTTATTAAGCAGCGTTATATATTTGCTCTTTATGAAGCAGGTGAAGAGGAGCAAAACACAAATAGTGCTATGGACAACGGCAAGTTGAAGAAGTGATAGGACAAGCGCTACTTGTGGTTCTTCAACTTGTCCTCGTACTGCCATTTCTGTATCACTATTGTTTGAGCAACTTGTCAAGCGGTTCAATTTAGTACCCGTGAAGCGGCTTGTCAGTGGCCTTGTCACTAAAGCAGGGAATATGCAGACAACAAATCACTTTGATGGTGATGACCACAACATTTTCATGTCATCTCAGAAAAATGGCCCCCCCCTTTCCCCCCCCCCCAAAAAAAAAAAAGCTGATTATGCACTTACGTTGCAGAATGTGTGCATCGTCTGACGGCAGAGACTGGAGGGTCACACTGCAGTTCTCTTTGTGCGTTACACTCCCAGTTTCAATGCGGTGACCAATAAATGTTTCGGTGATGCAAAAAATAGAAAGAAAAAAAAAGACATTGCTCTGAATATTTTGTTGTTCCCCTTATTTAACTTATCAAAACCAATTTCCCGTTAATTGGACCTCAAGATAAACGTGACACGCCGACCTATTAAGGATAACAGCAATCCAGTCCTCGTCAAATTAACTGAGGGCAATTAAAAAAAAAACAAGGAGGTCATGCAATAATTCTATAGGGGAGTGACAACGGTCCCAGGAAGATATGCTTCAGTTTGTGCAGTATCATTGATTTCCTCATTAGACAAGTGTCATCAGCTTTGGCCACTGCTCATGCATTACATTTTAGAGTAAAGCACACTGTACAATGGCATGTTTACTCCATGACATGCCAACCTTTTGCTGGGTTCCCAATTATCCTGAATAACACAAAAATTTGCAAATAAAAGAAGCAGTTAGATCAATAGGTCACACAAATCTATGTGAAACGAGCAGTCTAGATCAGTGCATGCAGGGTGACTCCATGTGGGGCTGTATAGGAGCTTTACAACCACCCCAATAGCTTGTTAAATCAAACCCAATTATCCTCTGCTAAATGTGTGAGCTACATGGTCTTGGTAGGCAGTTCAAATTCCTCACTTACCCCGCATATAAGTCCTAGAGTTGTATTCACACTGCTTGCGTTTGCTTTGGCCTCCACCCCCCACCCATTTTCTCCCACACTAGGTGGCAGAAACACTGTTCTTATTCTGCATGTGGCTGATTATTAAAAGCCTTTTGGCTTTTCAATTTAAGTAAATGCACATATTGAAAAGGAGCTTATTGCCTAGTAATCAGGTCTACGAGAAAATTTTGAAGTGTAGAATATATGAAGTTTGCTAGACCTATGGCGGACAATATTTACCCTCCAAATCAAAGCAGCACCAAATGTGTCAGCCATGTGCCCATGACAACTTCAGAGGAGACTAATGACAAATGCATAAAGCATATGATAATTACAGAACGACCCGATACTATGACCCAGAAAGTTGAACAAGCTTACGTGAACACGCTTACAAAAAGATATCTAGAATGCCAAAGAATCAATGGAAATAAAAATAGGAAGACTTGTCTGATCCTCTCTGAAGTCCCGATCTTGGTATCAATAGCATGCATCGATGCTTACAATCATGCTCTGCGGTGTGGCCAGAAAACACACCTGAGTGATGCTCCCAATCATTATGCTCTTAGGTGGACAAAAGGCTCACTTCAAACAGCTTTCAGCAATAAAAAAGAAGCATGCCAGATACTAACATAACATGGTTTCCCCAAAAATAAAACATATAAATCTCCAACATCTTTTGGGGCTACGGAAACAACCAAGGACGCACAAGAATGGAGCACCTCATCCCAAAGTGAATGGAACGCCAAGGTGCAACACATCGCTCTCCTAAGCAACTAACACTACTTACAATTTTTTGAACACCTTCCTGGTAAACTAAGAGCGGGAATATTAATTATAATTGCATGTGGTGCATCGCCTTCAGGATTGCTGGATGATGTGAAACTCTGGAAGATCTTCAAGATTAAAGTGAGCAGAAATTTTTTACTTGGCCTGAAAATGTCTCATACTTTGTATCTTGTTCAGAGTTAAGCAATAACACCATAGCTATCTACTAACACATTACGCCTAGAAAGTATCACCTACGTAAGACAAGAATGATTCAGACACAGTGATGTGATTGCCCTAAGCCATTTTGGAGCACCTTTCGAAGCTGCCAAAACAGTGTTTTGGAGCAGCAAATGTGGCCTTTGGAGCAGATATTCTTAGAAAAATAAAAATATTCGTTTCAAGTGCTGGACAAACGAAGGGCACTTTGCTCGCCGCAGTAAACATATTATAGTCAAGTTAGACCACCTGGGAGTCTTTCAACATGTAACTGAAATGGAAATCACATGAAACATATTTTAATGCTTCAGTAAAATGATACATATATATGTACCTTCTATAGGTATATAAATAAAAACAAAACTGCATCTATTAAAATTTCTTTTAAAGTGACGAGCTTAGTAGTAAATATCACAGCATTAGGTTGACTAGTTATATGATAAATAGAAGCAGTCTCTAACTGTTGATCCACGTGACCACTGCACTGCGATGCAAAACTGTCACGCGAGTGCAGATAGCTGTTCAATCGAAACCATGCCACTCCGCTCCGTCGCCAACTGGTTGCTAAAATTGTACACAAAATGTAACTGTCCAGCATACGACAAAAAAACAACCCAGCCGCACGTGCTTGCCAGAGCGGCTGGCGAGGTATAAGCTAAACACAAAAAAAGAACCTGAGCACATCGATGCAAGACATCACGAGCCAGGGTCAGAAAGTTCCTGGAGCGCTTTGCGCAACGACTGAACTCGAGACAAACAAGCGCGCTGTGCGAGTTCAGGGTAACAGACATTGTATTCTTTGCTTTAGCTCACTTCTCTTCACCAACTCTCTCGCGGCAGATTTTTCACGTACCGGGGTCTCCCTCGAAAGAAAGCTTACCGAGAGAAACCCAGGCAAACAGTACTTCGACACAGCAGTCTTTGATCTAGAGGGATTTTTGTAGTAGCGTATTAAACAAGAATAGGAATGTTGATGAAGGTTAGGGCGGTCCTTACGTTTCAGTTTAGAAAGCGCCATATCTGCAGCGACGTGGCGACGGCAACACTCGACGTCGCGCGACCACGGCGACTGGAAGGCAGATACCAAATGTAGTGTTCCCACGGCCATTGCTTTCAGGAGCAAGTGCTTCAGCTCACAAAGTAACTCCCGCCGCGCAAAAACGTTTCACAGCATGATGGCATGGCTGGTACCCAGCACGCTAGTGTCGGAGCGTCCGCAGACACCCGCGTCTATTGTTGAAAAAGTTTTCAAAAGACGCGAGACAACGAGAGGACGAGAGCGTGAAACGAGAGACGGCGGGAAAAAACCATGCAAGACCGGATGAACGATTGATGCAGAGTACTTTGTGTCGGGTGCCTGCTTGTGCCACCTAGCTTACGTGCGCTCATTACAGTACTCAGCTTAGATTCGGTTTTGAAAGGCGAGCAAAATTGGTTCTTTGGCGCAGGCTTGGCGCAGATTACCTATATTTTGGCAAAATGTGGCAGGATGTAGCAGGGTTAGCCCCTTGGCGCAGTTTGGCGCAATTGGCGCAGCAATCACATCACTGCAGACACTACCTATTGTTAGCGCCATTTTGTAAAAGAGACTTGCACAGTCTGCTCACTTTCCATGTGGCACACCCATGAGTTCTTTCGCCGGGCAGATGTGCCAGACGCATATTAAATCTCTCACACCGGCCTCCATGTCCACAACAAGGCTCTAACATTTCAGAAGTGTGGTCACGTGGCCATGCCCCTCTGCAGATTGACTGCTGTGGTGACATGTAGCTCAACAGCGGTGGACTTCTCCTACTAGAACCTCAACATGGAAGGAACGAATTCCCAAGGGCTACGGCAGAATGTGCGGAACTTGAACTGACCGGCTGTGGCAGCAAACCCTCTCCAAGTTCCAGCCACCATTTCAACAGGGACGACGGGGAGCACAGGCTTTGTCAGTAGCGACGGCACCCCCACGAGCCAAAGTCCGTGGCAGCACCTGTGACAAAGAGCCCTCGCATAATCCCTGTCACCACTCCGGCTGGGATCACAGGGAGCACAAATGATGGCGGTGGAGCCACCACGAGCCAGAGCTACATGGCAGCACCTGCAGCAGCGAGGCCCCCACAAGTATACCACTCACTATCTTGAATGGGAACTCAGGGAGCGCAAGCGTTGGGAGGTGACGACAGCGCCACCACCAAAAATGATGTGGCAGCACAAGAACTAGGTTCTGATGACAACAGGCGCTGACATCCAAGTCAACTTGGTGGCTGTCCAACCAAACAGACGTGACGCGTACCTGAGAAGGCAAATAATGTTTTGTAGTGACCAAAGTGGCCAAAAAGTTGCCAAGCGAAACTCAGCATTCAACTCTAATGATGAGCCACGCTGTTTCGACTATGATCGACATATGTCTGCGAATCGCTCTAAACCGCAGAAGTGTGAAGGCTGCATCAATTTTAATGGACATGGACAATTAATGAACCATTTTTGTGTGCAGGCAACAAACTGCCAGCGAAAACAGTGATGAAAACTCAAGTGAGTTACTCCGACACTGCTAAATAAATAGGACAGCTTACCATCATCTCCTATTGATATCTGCCATTAAGCCTGTACCTCGGCACTGTAGGTGATGTCAGTGGTGTCCGTCTCAGGGAACTCAAACTAGTAGTTCACTGAGCAACTCCTCCTTGACCAGGCCTGCAGCGATTATAAATATGAAGAACAGATATATTACGTTACATAAATGACAGAAGATAGAAAAGGCACAGACAGTACCATACCTTCCAAGTTTGGGGACATTAAATTCGGGATAATTTCTAAGCAGGGGAGGGGGGGGGGGGGTGTTTTAAAAAGAAATATTGAGAACAAATTTGCATGAAGACAACTTCATTATATTTATATATTGCACTGCCTATGCTCATGGGATTACAGCCGTCCACAGTGATGGCAAAAACTCTTCTTTAGTACAAAAGAGAGGGGGAGGGTAATTTCTCTTTTCGGGAGGTTTTTCTGTCAATCATACAAACTGATCAAACTTTGAGAGACTTCTGGGTAATACGGGGAAGTTGGCAGGTGTGCAATACTAAACAGACACAATTTGCTACCGGCAATGGCAAAAGAGAATGCAGGTTGGATCAGCTATGCATAAAGGTAGTTTGAACAACATATACCATATAGAGTGTACTCAAGCAAGGCTAGCGAGCGGTGCGCTCTGGGTACATCACCGTATTTGTGTTCGTGAAAGCAGACAGCGGAAAGCGCACAGCCTCACGGGCCACACTATGAAGCGAGCATCCTACGGTTCAGGTGACACCACGCATGAAAAAGATGTCGCTCTTGTGCGACAGTCTGCTGTTGCACAAGGAAAAAAGATGAACTGGAGAAAAAAAGACAAGGACAGCAGGCGTTGCAGACTCCCAGTTTCTGCAAATCCCGAGAGTCCGAACATGCGTGCAAAATGGTTTGGACACTCCACTTGAAACGAAAATGACTCACTAGCATCATCGGGCAAAGCCCACACAAAAATCATGACAAGTGGAGATTATGTGAGCATGTTAGTGAAGTTAATTAGTGCCAGTCTATTTTGTGTGTCCAAATAAATAAATAAATATATAAATAAATATATATATATATATATATATATATATATATATATATATATATATATATATATATATATATATATATATATATATATATATATATATATATATATACACGAGTAAAGCTATACGCCCTCTGGAATGCACTTCGGACGGAAATGGCTATACGCACTCCGCTTTTCTCGCATAAAACGCGTGGTCACAACGAATTTTCTAAGGCCCGCTTCAGACGGGGCAACTTTTCCAGCAATTTTGAGGTTGCTGGCGGGTTGTTCCCTAGCTTTCCCTAGATCGACGCGAATTGCTGAGATCGGGTCTGGCTCGAACAAGCGAGCAACTCGGAGCAATTCGAAGACGGTTGAAGCGGCTGCAGCCAATCAAAGACGCAATACTTTCACGTGACACCCCTGTGGTGGTGATGATGACAGCTAAAGACTTAGTTCTGGTTTGAAATGGATCGTTTTCGGAAATAAAGTTTCAGAAAAATTAGTTAGTATTCTCAACGCTGTTCAAAGATATAAGAATGTGTTTTTAGCGCGTAGCTGGGCGTCTAAATAGTGAAAGAAAAATCAAATTTAATGATGATGATGGCAAGTCGGAGCAATTCGGTTGTTGCGTGTGAACGCGGGCGGCCCGTGTTGCTGGTGTTGCGACGTCAAGTTGCTGGGTGAAATTGCTCTGTCTGAAGCGGGCCTAAGCGGAGGCATGGCATAGGGGTCAAGGTGTCCGCTTCATACGCAAGTGGACGCGGGTTCCATCCGCAGTGGGCCTGTTTTTTTTTCTTTTTTTTTTTTTTTTCTCAAACATTTTGTTTTGTCGAGGCATTTGGCGATATTTAGGACATTTCTTTTTTTTTTTTTTTTGCAATAAACAGCAAAAAAAAAAAAAAAAATCGAATGTTGTTGAGAAACTTCGCAAAACTAAATGGTATGGGACTCCCTTTCGAGGTGCGATCGGGGACAGCGGGGCTTGGATTGCCGGCTGGACGCCGCGAAGCGGCGTGTACTGGTTACGATTTGTAATTAGCAGCCGATACTGTCGCCGCGAAGCGGCGTGAACGCAGGCGGGGGGCTGTGTTAACGAGCTCCCCAGTGATACACGCGCCGTTCCAAAAGGGTGGCCCGAGCGGCATGATCTCTCGGAGGAGTGCGTATAGCCATTTCCGTCCGAAGTGCACTCCGGAGTGCGTATAGCTTTACTCTCTCTCTCTCTATATATATATAGCGCAGTAGATCAAACGGCTCCAACCACAATGTTTTCTTTTTTTACGCGTTTCGCTCGCGTCGCTTGAGATCACCCACAGCGATAAGACGCGCGGGCCGACAAAGAAACCTGGCCAGAACAGATATGGGTAGGCAGCGATGCGTGCCGACGCGAAGTGACGACCCACGTGCGATAAAACGTTTGACAGGTCGACCGACGTGTTGGGTGACCGAATCATGGCTTCGCGATTAGAACTCGCAACCCGTCGGACGGTTTGACGAAAAGCGCGAGGAGAGATGCTCGCCTAAGGAAAATACCTGTCAGAATACACTTCTCGGGCGCGATTAGGCAAAGGCAGGGCAAGGAAACAAACCAAGGAGATGCTTGAACGGAAGCTTAGGAGGACACAGAGGAAAAAGGCTTACCTTCGAGAAGCACCGAGGAATGAGCCAATTGAGCAGTGCCCATAACCTCCAGGGCTGTTCATTCTTGCTCGCGTGGTGCCTCGCCACTTATTAGTCGCAAAATCCATTCTCGGACGCGGCATATCGGATCGATATGAGTTCTACGTAAAAATAAAAGACACACCAAACCGCAACAAAGCTTCGGAAGCTTCAACGCAAATGAAGTTCAGGGTGGATTGGATTGGCTTGTAAAAGACTTTGTTTCGAGGTGCATAATAAATGCGAAAATAAAAAAGTTAACGTAACATTATTCGTAAAACAGTGGCGAACCGAAACAATAAAACGTTTTAACAAACTTAAAAAACTAAAACAAATGTATTAAAATAAAAGTTTTATACGGGATACGAAACTTCGCTTAGTCCCACAACTACGACGGGATATTAGTTCCGGTTTGGAATCGGAGGCTGCGTATTTTCGACACCGATTGGATATCCAGGGGGCGTGGACAATGGCGTCATGGACGTTAAAATAGCAGCTTCTATTTTGGCATCTTAGTTTTTGTTACGTCAACAACACGTTTTCTTTGGATGCCGCTGACTACATTGTGAAATGTCGGTAGGTCGGCGTGTGTGTGGCCGGGTGCTCGGCTCGGCGGCTCGGCGGTGTCCGCGCTGGTGCGTGTTGTCAACATTGCCGCCTGTACTCGTCGCGTTCTTAGGAACATCAAAATAAGCGTTCTCCATCTTCAAACTTCGCCCGGTGCCGTCCGTCACTCCTGTTGCAAATGAAGATTACGTCTACCGGAGGCGACAGAGCCCAGCCTCAGTAATTTCGTACGCATTTTTCTGGAGCTGTACTTGTGTGCAGTACGACGGATTATCACCCTTGCATAGAATAGCTGCGAAGGCCGTGCAAGCAGCGAGCGAGTAGCCTTGACTGGCATGACTGCACCCGATGCTGGAGCGCTCGTGGCGCGCGATCCAAAGCAACGAGCTCGCGCTTTTAGCACTGTCGTCGACAGCATTTTTCTTTTCTTTTTTTCAGTGTTAGTCATAAAAAAAAAATGCCGTAAATATCGTCAAATGTCCCAACAAAACAAAATGTCCGAAAAAAAAGGGCTGAGGTTTTTAAGGTCTATGAAGTAATTTTTTTTTATTTATTTGTTTGCCAGTTTTTTTTGCGCCCCTCTTTGATTACTGTCGCTTTTTTTTTTGTATTATTTTCACGTTTATTTTTCGTTGGTTTTACTTCGGATGATGGATTCGGGAGCCCATATTCGGGTCTTATAAATTTTGAGCCATTGTAATTTCAACTCACTGTAAATAATTTAGGAAAAAATGAAACGTTTGTCTGTAAATATGGTTGTATTAGCGCGTGTGGATGTAGATTGTAGTCATATATTAACACTATTAAAATATTCAGATATGGCTAATTGTCACATTTTTATTTGCCTGGCTAACAAAAGTGTGTCAACCAATTTTATTTTAGTGATCTGGTGTCTTCGTGTATATAAACTAATTTATCATTATTTATTGAAAATATAAGAACGTAGGATTTCATTATCCCAAATTGTTAACTTCTCTCATTAATTTAAGAAAATTTACAAAAAAATAGTACAATTCGTGACATATTTTCGGCGATTCAAACATTTGGGCAAGGAATGAAGAAATGCGTTGCATCCTTAACGTGTTGTTTGAAGTTATATATACGAAAATGGTCGCTCCCAGAAATAAGTAATTGTAAAGTAATTGCATTACTTTTTGATGTAATTTGTAATTGTAATGAATCATTTTTCACATAGTAGTAGTTGTAATTATGGTTAAACTACTTTTGGAGCGAAATGATTGTAATTGTAATTAAATTACATTTTGGAAGAAATTTACCATGTATGGTTTTCTTCAATTTGCCGCGGAACACAAGAGCCAATTGAACCTCTAGCGTATATTATAACTATGGTTTGTACCTAAAGTTTGATTTACTTGCAGCAGAATTTGGCCGGTATTGCACTGCCACCGGGGGCGCTTGATTGACAATAGGATGAGTATAAAAAGACGATACCCGAATTCTGTATTGACACCTGCCAATAAAAAGACGCTAAAGGGTTCTTTCGCGATTTGATTGCCATTGTAGCGCCTACCACGTCAGTGCCAAATTTCAATAAAGGGGTAATACCGTGTCCATAAATTTCAAGCGAGAGCAATCGAATGGCGATAGGGGCAATAGAATGTCAGTCAGATGTATATTGAATGGCGGAAGCCATTTTTATAGGGGGTGAACTGGTTGAAAGTGTATTCAGTTAGCGAGCTCAGTAAGTGTCTGCTCGATTTGAGGCTAATTTTTTTTAATGTTGTCGTGAAAACATGAACATACGCGTCAAAAGCCTGATATTCTGGACTTTTATTACGCAAATGTTTAGTGGCGCCATCTACCCGAAGCTAAGAAAAGCGCTCCCAGAAAACTAGGCGCGTGACGTGAACTGGTTGAAAGTGTATTCAGTTAGCAAGCTCAGTAAGTGTCTGCTCGGTTTGAGGCTAATTTTTTTTAATGTTGTCGTGAAAACATGAACATACGCGTCAAAAGCCTGATATTCTGGACTTTTATTACGCAAATTTTTAGTGGCGCCATCTATCCGAAGCTAAGAAAAGCGCTCCCAGAAAACTAGGCGCGTGACGTGAACTGGTTGAAAGTGTATTCAGTTAGCAAGCTCAGTAAGTGTCTGCTCGGTTTGAGGCTAATTTTTTTTAATGTTGTCGTGAAAACATGAACATACGCGTCAAAAGCCTGATATTCTGGACTTTTATTACGCAAATTTTTAGTGGCGCCATCTACCCGAAGCTAAGAAAAGCGCTCCCAGAAAACTAGGCGCGTGACGTGAACTGGTTGAAAGTGTATTCAGTTAGCAAGCTCAGTAAGTGTCTGCTCGATTTGAGGCTAATTTTTTTTAATGTTGTCGTGAAAACATGAACATACGCGTCAAAAGCCTGATATTCTGGACTTTTATTACGCAAATTTTTAGTGGCGCCATCTATCCGAAGCTAAGAAAAGCGCTCCCAGAAAACTAGGCGCGTGACGTGAACTGGTTGAAAGTGTATTCAGTTAGCAAGCTCAGTAAGTGTCTGCTCGGTTTGAGGCTAATTTTTTTTAATGTTGTCGTGAAAACATGAACATACGCGTCAAAAGCCTGATATTCTGGACTTTTATTACGCAAATTTTTAGTGGCGCCATCTACCCGAAGCTAAGAAAAGCGCTCCCAGAAAACTAGGCGCGTGACGTGAACTGGTTGAAAGTGTATTCAGTTAGCGAGCTCAGTAAGTGTCTGCTCGATTTGAGGCTAATTTTTTTTAATGTTGTCGTGAAAACATGAACATACGCGTCAAAAGCCTGATATTCTGGACTTTTATTACGCAAATTTTTAGTGGCGCCATCTACCCGAAGCTAAGAAAAGCGCTCCCAGAAAACTAGGCGCGTGACGTGAACTGGTTGAAAGTGTATTCAGTTAGCAAGCTCAGTAAGTGTCTGCTCGGTTTGAGGCTAATTTTTTTTAATGTTGTCGTGAAAACATGAACATACGCGTCAAAAGCCTGATATTCTGGACTTTTATTACGCAAATTTTTAGTGGCGCCATCTACCCGAAGCTAAGAAAAGCGCTCCCATAAAACTAGGCGCGTGACGTGAACTGGTTGAAAGTGTATTCAGTTAGCAAGCTCAGTAAGTGTCTGCTCGGTTTGAGGCTAATTTTTTTTAATGTTGTCGTGAAAACATGAACATACGCGTCAAAAGCCTGATATTCTGGACTTTTATTACGCAAATTTTTAGTGGCGCCATCTACCCGAAGCTAAGAAAAGCGCTCCCAGAAAACTAGGCGCGTGACGTGAACTGGTTGAAAGTGTATTCAGTTAGCAAGCTCAGTAAGTGTCTGCTCGATTTGAGGCTAATTTTTTTTAATGTTGTCGTGAAAACATGAACATACGCGTCAAAAGCCTGATATTCTGGACTTTTATTACGCAAATTTTTAGTGGCGCCATCTATCCGAAGCTAAGAAAAGCGCTCCCAGAAAACTAGGCGCGTGACGTGAACTGGTTGAAAGTGTATTCAGGTAGCAAGCTCAGTAAGTGTCTGCTCGATTTGAGGCTAATTTTTTTTAATGTTGTCGTGAAAACATGAACATACGCGTCAAAAGCCTGATATTCTGGACTTTTATTACGCAAATTTTTAGTGGCGCCATCTACCCGAAGCTAAGAAAAGCGCTCCCAGAAAACTAGGCGCGTGACGTGAACTGGTTGAAAGTGTATTCAGTTAGCAAGCTCAGTAAGTGTCTGCTCGATTTGAGGCTAATTTTTTTTAATGTTGTCGTGAAAACATGAACATACGCGTCAAAAGCCTGATATTCTGGACTTTTATTACGCAAATTTTTAGTGGCGCCATCTACCCGAAGCTAAGAAAAGCGCTCCCAGAAAACTAGGCGCGTGACGTGAACTGGTTGAAAGTGTATTCAGGTAGCAAGCTCAGTAAGTGTCTGCTCGATTTGAGGCTAATTTTTTTAATGTTGTCGTGAAAACATGAACATACGCGTCAAAAGCCTGATATTCTGGACTTTTATTACGCAAATTTTTAGTGGCGCCATCTACCCGAAGCTAAGAAAAGCGCTCCCAGAAAACTAGGCGCGTGACGTGAACTGGTTGAAAGTGTATTCAGTTAGCAAGCTCAGTAAGTGTCTGCTCGATTTGAGGCTAATTTTTTTTAATGTTGTCGTGAAAACATGAACATACGCGTCAAAAGCCTGATATTCTGGACTTTTATTACGCAAATTTTTAGTGGCGCCATCTACCCGAAGCTAAGAAAAGCGCTCCCAGAAAACTAGGCGCGTGACGTGAACTGGTTGAAAGTGTATTCAGGTAGCAAGCTCAGTAAGTGTCTGCTCGATTTGAGGCTAATTTTTTTTAATGTTGTCGTGAAAACATGAACATACGCGTCAAAAGCCTGATATTCTGGACTTTTATTACGCAAATTTTTAGTGGCGCCATCTACCCGAAGCTAAGAAAAGCGCTCCCAGAAAACTAGGCGCGTGACGTGAACTGGTTGAAAGTGTATTCAGGTAGCAAGCTCAGTAAGTGTCTGCTCGATTTGAGGCTAATTTTTTTTAATGTTGTCGTGAAAACATGAACATACGCGTCAAAAGCCTGATATTCTGGACTTTTATTACGCAAATTTTTAGTGGCGCCAT